GCAAGAGATTTCAAGCTCTTTTTAAAAAATAAAAAATTAAATCATTAATAACAACCGTTTAATTTAAAAGCAAGTACCTCCTCTCTCAGTTAAGTTTGAAAGTTTTAGTCTCTCCCATTGTTGTGGAGGAATTTTGGCCTACTCTTCTTTACAGTGTTGCTTCACCTCAATGAGGTTTGCAAGCATTTGTTTATCCACAGCTCTCTTAAGGTCCTGCTACATTATTTCAATGGGGTTAAAGTCTGGACTTTGACTGTGCCACTGCAACACCATGATTCTTGTCTTTTCCAGCCATGCTGCTGTAGAACAGCTGCTCAGCCAAGTGTTAGCTTTAAGAGAGACGGCCTCACACATTTGACTCTAGAATACTTTGGTATACAAAGTGTCTGTGAAGGTTCTCAGTCATCCAGGTCATCATAGTCTAAGGAGCTTAGAAAGAAAAGCATCTGAACTTTAAGTTTCTTCCTTTCATCTGAGAACTTGAAGAAACTTAAAGAAGTCCAGACGCTTTCCTTTCCAAGCTCCTTGGACTTTGGTATACAGAGGACATCATGGCCGACTCAGTGACGGCACAGTGTCCAGGTCCCGTGGCTGTGTTTGTGCTGATATGGCATGTTTGTTTCTTTGCAAACACAACTCTGTGCATTATCGCCAAGCATTGAGAAGATTCAGAAGTCTTAGGGTTTGTTCGGATGCAACTTTGCAAACCTAAGCTGCGCTGCCATGTTCTTTTTAGAGAAAAGAGGCTTTTTCCTGGAAACCTTTCAAATCAAACCATACATGTTCAGTCTTTTTCTAACTGTACTGTCATGAAATCTAACATTTTTGTAGTTTCTCTGAGCACTGGCTGGTCTGACCTTGGGGTGAATTCACCGAGACATCCACTGCTGGGAAGGTTGGCAACAAACTTTAATGTTTACCGCTCCTGAATAATCTCTTTCTGTTCAGAATGTTTGGAAAAGGTCTTCTGTAGATGAGCCAGACAGCTTCCTTAAGGTCATTGCTGATATTTTCCCACCTTGATCAGTTTATCAAATGCAGTTGATTAGCAGCACTTGGATGCCACTCACCCTCATTTTAAGGCCCGCTAAGAACCACATGATGTTTATTATATCCTGATATGTAAAACCTTACATACCCATGTGGAAGAAGACCAGTCAGTCACTAGTGTCAGCCTGCCCCCTTCTGGATGTTTCACAAGCAACACACGAGCACCTGCATAAGAAGGCAAAGTAGGTGATAAATGAGCTTCACTTGCTGATTTAAAATGCCAACATACTTTATTTAAATCAGCTGTTGGTGAGCGAAGAAGATCATTTATTTCTTATGATATCAGCACAGAGGTCTGTGATGTTTAACACAAACTCTGACATGGTCTTTGTCTTACTGGGTAAGAGGCTGGGAATGACATCAGCTGTAGTGGATGCACAATAAGCCACTGACACTCGTCATCTGCTTTAAAGCACAGGTGTCAACCTAATTTCACTTTGATCTTAAGTGGGCTAGAGCCAATGATGTCATAAATGTCTGTACTAGATTGTGGAAAAACAGAAACTCCCTGTTAGTTAATTGTTTATGTATGTGATGGACCAAGCAGTGAAGGAAACTTAGGCACAGGTTAAAGTCCAAAAAAAAGATTTTTTATTTAACCCAAAAAACATAATTGGTTAAATCATACAAAAAGAATCAAAATCTTAGGCCCATAAAAGAGGTCAAAATAACAAAACACTACTGATAACTCAAACAAACTGACCTAACTTAACAGACAAAGGGGAAACTTAAATAGTGGCTGATCAGCCCACAAAAACAGGAGAAGGGGTAAAACACACAAAACCGAACTAAACCAAACATAATGAACTCCAATTCCCCCCCATGGTCCCGAGTTATGGCATGAACCAATTTACAGTCTTCCTTTAAAACTCGCTCCGCCCCTTTTCCACCTCTTGGCTCCTTAATCAAGGGACTGGAACAGCTGCAACTAAGGTAACTCAGAAAACAAAAGGGTAATCATACATAACAGTGTAAACTAAAATGTGCGCACTTATTTTAGAATACAGTGTTATGTGGATATGTGAATTAACTCTAAACAAAAACCAGTTATTTATTGTCCTGTAAATTAATTCCTATATTTAAAGAAAGAGAAATGTGAATGTTACTTATAAGCGTCTACACTAACATGCTGGGTATTACCACTGTGTGGCTGTAAGTGCAGCCATCACAATGTATTACTTATTACCACTGGTGAAGTGTGAGTACCCGTGGAGGAAGTCTTTATCATTAATAAAAGCTTTAAAACCTGGAAAAATACAGTCTCAAATGTCTGCCCTCCTGCATGTTTTCCCAAGTCGTCCAGCGACCAGATTGGAGTCTCTGGTGGGCTATTTCTGACCCCAACACCTGATGTTTGACACACCTGTTTTAAAGTGAGACAAGGAACAAGAATAGTTCTCATCTAAGAGGGATTTATTTTTTTGACTTTTTGTTAATGAATGAAGGGGCAGAAAAAAGAAACCCTGTCCAAAGTTGAATTCCACACGTAAAAGGCCGTAAACTGTGAGCACATGCATCATAGTTTGTTTTTGTTTTATTGTTTTTTTCTCATTTTGCAAACACAGGTAAAAATGCATCTTTACTTGTAGATCTGCATGTGAAATCATGTTGATAACGGCTGCTTCAGAGGAAAGACTGCAGAGCATCTCCAGTGCAGCGAATACATTACAGCTAAAGGTCACTTTCGTGCTGAACTCCAGTCAGGAGTACATTATAATGTCATCCCACTGATAAATCAATTTTGCTGTGGGACACTACACCTCCTCAGACGTCAATATAACTGTTTTCACTCGCTCAATTATTTGTTAGCATGCTGCGTATATGGGTGTAGGAGGTAAGCGTCTGTTTGTGTATTACTTTCACAGGTTACACAGAAATGTTCATGTTATAGAAAACAAACTGATCATCCTTGTGTAAGCAAGCATAAAAACACAACAACAACACTTCCTCGAGACAGGAAGAACCAGCCTCTGGGTCGACAGACGTCCGACTTAACCGGTTAGAGTGAAAGTAAAGAGATGAGCTTAGAAACCATACAAACAATGAACACTTAGGTTAGTGTGAGTCACAGGAGCCACACCCAGCTGCTGTTCAAGGCTTTGGCCTGTGAGAGGCCAATCAGAAGAAAGCGAGCTCAAAGGAAGGGCAAAGGGAGCAAAACCAGTCTACTTTAAACTGAAACATCAGCTGTGTGATGCTGGAAGACCTCTGCTTGATGAGCTCAAGCTATGTTCTCGGTCCCTGCTGTCCCTCGCAGAGTCGAGTGATGGCTATTAACTGGCTCAGTCTTATAAGACCTTACGTCATCCATTTGTTCATCTGGATGTATCTGAATGTTTTTACATTACTTCATCGATCTTCATTTCACAAAAATGCACATGAATTCTGCCTTTACTCCAGCTCAAATCTTCATTTGACACCAGTGCCCCTCACCACAGTTACAGCTCAGCTTTCATAGCTTCCTGCTATTTTGTTGCTTGTCATCAAAAAACAATGAACCGTGACTCTTATTCACAAATGTAGTGCAGACATGATTAAGTTATCCCTCCACATGACCCACTGTGTGATTATTAGAAAAACATGGATTTCTCCCAGCCAATCAGCAAAGATCCGGTTGTGCGACAGATAGTGACATATTTGCCTCTGACCAATCAATAATGGCCTGGAGCATTTCAAACTTCAGTGTTTTTACGGGATTTGGGAAATTTGAGTTTTTTGCTCCTAACCTACTCCCACACTTGTGGTCGTCACATCAAAACTACCAGTGGTAAGCTGATGAAAACCACGCATTACATAGTTTAAACGTTATTCTATGGGTGAGCCATACTTGTGTTATTTCTAAAAAACAAAAAAACAACTTATTATAAACATAGAACAGCAGCAAGTGGTATGTTGGATGTGTTTTGGTTGTTTTATTTGTTTTATGAGCTTACTTAATAATTTAGTAATTCTATGTTTGTAATTAATTTTGTTTTGATTGAATTTCATATAAAAAAAAATATTGAATACCATCAGTTATAATGCTACTTTTTAGTTCTTGTTATGTATTTACAATTTATCTGTCCCTGTACATTGTTTTCTGCAACTCTATACTTCACTGTTGTTGTTTTCCATCAAATTTGGCTGGATATTGACTCAAAAATGCACCTTTTTTCTTTTGCAGCTGTCTACTTTGCTCTTTTATGGAGGACAGCCCATCAAGTACCATCCGATAGAAAAGCACAACCTGTATTAGGACATATGCACATGCTCATATCAGTGAATTAACTTAAATCTTTGAAGAAAAGTATAAATGTTGAGACACATTCTTAACATATTACACCAGCTTTGCCACATCCTGTGAAGCAGTTGCCTGTGACTAGACAGGGCTGAACTTTGATGTGTTTTATTTATTTATTATTTATTGTCATGAAAACTGCCAGTGTAAATTTAAGAAAGATTATTATAAATAAATGTTCCTTTAAATGAATGTGGGGTTTTTTTGTATAGGTTTTACATACATGTAAAATGTACACACTCAAGAACCAATATATGGTAACTTTACTGACTTTAATTTGCACTGTTAAAAATTATAAATTTGGAATGTCGATGTATTTCAGTGAGCTTCTTTTGTGGAAACCCACCCAAAAATTTATATTTTAGACAGAGAAAAAAAAAGAACTTTTCTGTCACGTATGTGTTACTTTGGTGTAGTATGAAAGACTGGAGGAAGTGTTTATCAGTAAGACAAGCTGTAAAATTTATTAAAATATAGTCCAGCAGGCCAAGTGGGAGTCTTTTGAGGGGCCGATTCTGGCCCCGGGGTCTTATGTTTGACACCCCTGCTGTAGACGTTATAGTGGGGGGTAAATGTCTTGCTTTGTAAACGTATCACTGATACAGCAGCACTTCCAGGATTGGCCGGCAGATGGCGTGAGTAGTCCAGGTCACAATCAGCGCTCCGGGAAAATATTATCATGAGATGGCCTGGATCAAAACAGAGGACCTTTCATGTATGGCTGTATCCGGGAGGTTATCTTATCTCTGCTCTTTGCTTTCAGTAGGCTAACGTAACGTTTATACACTTTTTATGGTTGAGTCGCTGAAACAATCAGGAGTACTTGAACCATGTGGAACGGTTGTATTTTTTCTCCTTAAAAGTTGGTGCTTTCCCCGAAAGTGTGGGTTAGACAGCTTTTAAACGGGTCATTTTTACGTATTTACCACGACCGTCGGACTTTATTTTCTTTTCAGTGTTTGTGTCTCGGCTTTTTGTGACCTATATTTCGCCGTAAGTTGGTCGCACACGCGTTAACAGTCGCCGTCGTTCGTCGATGACCCAGCCTCTCATTTCCGAAAGCTTACGGAGATTCACCGAGCAGCGACCCAGCCCCTCCCGTCCCCCCCCTCTCGTCACCGCTCCAGCGACTCTCCCCTCGGCTCCACTCCGAGGAGGAACCCGGTGCCCCCGGCTGATCGTTTCCAATTACGTTACCCCAAGATGGAGGTCTGCAGATGGCACTGCTAGCGTCAACGACTCCCCGCAACCGTCCGTGTGGCTTTAATGACGCTTTTGTCAGGACAGGAGTGATTGTGTGCCATCTTTTTGTCGATATTTTGGGGGGCTCTACTTGGGAGATACCGAGCTCCAGATTCGGGTTGTGGCAGCCATGAGCTCCGGGGAAGGAGCGGAGGAGACCACGAAGGACGCCAGCGACATAGAGGCGTTCTTCAAAACCGGTAAGCCCAGGAAAAGAGTGGGAGAGGTCGGACTGAGCTCCGCGGAGAGCTCTCCTCTGGTCCAGCTCTGTGAGGGACATTTTTTCCTGTCCATGTTGAAAGGTTTGGGGCTCGCACGGTGAAGAATATGGGAGGTTTTAGCCATTGAATTTCATAACTGTCGACATAAATGAAACTCACAATAAATGCCAGTGACCCACACAGCTGCGGGCATCTCCGAAATATGTTCCTTGACTTCCTTTTCTGAGCAGCTGCATCCTATAGCTCAACCAGACTATGGAAAGACAACGCTTGCCGGGTTGCTAATGACCAGAGTTCCATCTCCGGACACCTCGCCTAGATATTGCAGTATTTTAAGAAGTGCAGCACTCCGTGTTACCAACCTCCCGATCCAATAACTTAAAACCACTCGCATCGATGTAAACTGACAGCAAAAATAAGTGAAATGGCACAGGCTGGCGTTAGGAGAAATAAAAGAAGGGGGTAAAACAGCAATTGTAAATATGCGTTTTCTATTCAAACGCAGCCTGACTGGTTTGGATTCTGCCGACTTTTGGTTATTGGGGTTAATTAAGCGTTAAAGTGGGACAACTGTAATGTATATTTAGGTTTAAGCTAGCGGAGTAGTTTTAGAGTTTATTAGAAAGAGACATGGAGCCGTACACAGCTGTCCGATAATTGACCCAGGAGCTTGCTTATTCCAACAGCAGCTACCAGTGCTGCTAACCTCAGAGCTAGTGAATCCCGATCAGATTTGGTGAATCCTGTTCGCTAGCTGGTTTAGCTTAGTTAGCCTGGCAGTTAAAGCTGGTTTGTTGGTGGGTGGTTTTTTTGTGTATTGGGAGGAAACGTATATGAGGAGTGTCCGCTTAGCTTTGGTATTCCGTCAAGTCGGTTTTGTTTGTAGTTTTCCATGCTGTCAAAAAAATAGCACAACGGCGCAAGCTATGTAAACAATACCCGGCGTGGCACGTATAGCCTGGGTGTGCACTGTGCAGGATAAGCTAGTTTTGTAACATGGCTAGCAGAAGCGAAAGCGTCTATTTTTCCTCGGTCAAACCTCAGAATGCCAGTGACACACATTTCTCCATGTAACACACACTTTATTATCTCAATATAAAGATGTTACCCCGTCGCATGTGCATAATCGCTAGCATTAGCTAAGCAGGCTAATTTGTCAGCGAGGACTGTGTTGAAGTCTTAACACGGGCCTACAGTCATTGCATCGGCTCCAACAATAGCTCATAAAACATGTTAATTCCTGGGGACACTACCGGACGTCTGAGCACAGTGGAACAGTACAGGCCGTACGATTTGATATCACTTTCACGATTTGACACCGTGAAAACGTGACTTAAGGATGGCGTTTGTTATGCATTTGCATGGCTGTCAGTAAACGTGCAGCATGAAACACACACAGTTTGTACAGATAATCACAATATACTCGAATGAAATGCTGATTCCTGGAAAAAGGTCTGCATGCAGTGTTTGTGGGTCTTTCATGTGAAAATCCCGTTGAGCCTGTGGACTCTTGCATGTGCTGGATAACCCTTAGCTCATCTCAGAGGGGCTGCTGATTGAGATCCAGTGCTTGATGTCATGTCTGCAAGTGTCATCATCTAACTCCACTTAAATACACCCCAGTGGTTACCGTTGCACGCTGCAAGTTTGTAAGAGTAACCTGCTGAGAAGCGCTAAAACCATTTCTTAGTGAATCGGTTGTTGGTTGCGTATCATGTGTAATGGTATTTGCAGTTTGTTTGTTTGTTTTCAGGTGCCATGCATTTTAGTGCCTGACACAGAAATATACAAGAGTGAAGTGTATGAGGAATAAAATGCAGAGGGTGCTAATGTACTCTGCCAAAAATCACTGCATGTTCTACTACAGTATCACGTGTGGTAGATTTTGAAGTACACTTTAGAGGGGCTGTAAACAAGGATGAGAATGCAGCGTATTGACATTCAGCCTCCTCTGGCTCCTGTGGTTTTGTGTCTAGTGAGATAATAAGCCACAGAGGGAAGTTTGGTATCCGCATTGAGCTGATCTGATGGCTTCCTCTTAAGGAAAGAGAGGCAAGAAGAGGCATCCTGTAACTCGCTAACGACCGCACTTTGTGTGTTTTTGTCGATGTTGCACAGCTGCAGCCATTCTGCCTCACTGTTAATCGGATCTGTCCCTAATTTATTTATTGTATAATTGAAATTTCTAGATATGGCCCCCCACTCCACCCCCTGTTCTTATTACCACAAACCCATCTGCTCCAGTTTTAATTTGTAGTTTAGAAATAGCTCTTTAGTTACCAAAAGAGCTCTTCAGCCTTATATTAACTTTTGTTTGTCTGCGAGAAGCAGTGAGAGCGATAATTAGCTTGTGTTGTGTGTGTGAGCTTAGGGGTTAAACTTAGCATGGTTTGAGCTGCCTCTGTCGAATTATTAGAACTGAAATTGTTGATACAGTGAGAAGAAATCACACACTCGACGGATCGCGAATGAACATTTCGTGCCATTATCTGCAGCTGGCTTTGTTTAATCGTATGAATATTTTAACACCAGTGTCATTTATATTTCAGGCCAGTCTGTACTTGATGCGTTCAATCAACCTGTCAATGGGCAGAGATTCAAATCCTGCCTGTGTTCAAGCACTAACCTTAAACTTTAGGCGACTATTGCTGATTTTTAACACTATGTGAAGCTAAGAGTGACAAGAGTGTGTATCTGTTTGTGTTAAGGGAAAGTATATCCCTGTTTTTCCTTAGAAATGAGCTGATGTGTCGGCCGATACTAGGCCTGCTGATATTTGTTTATGTCAGTTCAGTTTTCAGAGTTTACTGTAGTTAAGAGCTGAAAGACTTCATGCCCGACAACTGGTCTGTTTTAATGGGGAACTTAATTATTACACAGAAAAATTAAGGAGGTATAAAAACAATATCAAACATCTGTATCCATCCAGATTTTCTTAGTCGGTACATTCTCAGTTTTCCTTACTAAAGCCCACTTTGATCAGGAGTCGGCCGCACCAGAAGTTTAGCTACACTTTTAATCCCTCAAGTATATTTATTTTCGTGAAATGAAGGCAAATTTCAACAATACATCTCGTATATGAATACGAGTGGAAGATCCTAAAAACGAAGGTGAGCCAAGTCGAGTAGGTACTAGTGGAAAGGTTTCAGTGCCCGTGTGTCCGGCACTTACAGGGTTGCTTTCAGCAGGACAGTGATTGACAAGACCACCTACTTTATGAGATAATTCTAGTTATGGATGGAGATTTACTGTAAATGTAACTGGACTGGGTAACAACCTGCGAGCCACGTCCAGTGTGCAGCTCTTTAGGGTATAAGGAAATGCTTATTTGTCTAATATGCTGGTTCACACTGTGCAGTCTCCACTTCCTTGAGCTTTCTCCGTTCTGTCTGATAATAAATGAGCTTTTTCTTATTGTTTCAAACCATTTTTAAACGGAGCATCCCTGTGTTGCTGTGAGTCAGCCATGTCTGTAGTGAAACCAGTATTGAAACTAATACAGGCCTCAGCCTACCACTGTCTTTATACAGCCAGCTCGGTGGGAGCTTAAGTGTCACGTTCGGGCTCTCCACCTTTTTGTTTTGCTGCTGAACTTGTGAGAATCTTGTTCTGACAGGTTTGAGTGTCTCGCCACAGGGCAGGCTATGCTTCTTTTTTTTTTCTTTTTTCTTTCCATCCCCAGCTCCATCCTCGTCTCTTTCTTTCCATCCTTTAGTGTTTGGTTTCTTTGTCTTTCCCATGTCTTCTCTCTTTCCTTTCTCGCCTTCCATCCGTCCGTCTGTGTCTCTGCCTGCTGGCTGAGCGTTCATTTGCCGATGTCTGTTTCATGTTTTCCCTCCCTGTTCGTTCATGCTGCGTCATGTCGGTCCTCTCCGTCCTGATGCAAAATGACAACTAATATTAAAAAAGAAAAATGTTTCCCTCCGTCTCTGTCTATCTCTTTCCTCTCTGTCTCCCAGACTGGAATTAATACCAAGGCCTCAGAGCTGTGATACAGGGAGCTTTGTTGTGGCATGTTGTCAATCCTCAAATTATTCCACTCCGAATGTATCTTTAGCTACACCGACGATGACTCAGAGATTGATTTGGTGTCAGTTTCATACATTTATTACTTGTTGGTAGTGCCGGGGCACCATTCGCAGCGGGAAAATTTACAGTCCTCACTACTGGCCCCTCGTGAATGAACATTTAGAGGCTACAAAGTACCGTTCATAACGTCGGCCTGTGTTTGAATGGACACCAGTGTGTACGTGTGTTTGTGTGCATCTGTGTGTGCAAGAAATTGAGTGAAACAGACAAGCAGGGAAAGAGGGAGGGAGAAATGTGATCCAGAGTTTGCATTTATGACTCAGGCCCATTCACCCAGGTTGAGGTCTGTGCACACGCTCAATGCGAACACACACACACATGCACTCTCTCTGAGACTAATGGATATTGATCCAGGAGATGGAGACTGATTGAGGTCCCTCAGTGAAGGTTTCCTCCAGGCTTAAAGCTGCCAAGTCAGACGCAGAGCAGAGGCTAAAGCCTAATGCTGCACAAAGCAGATTTCTTTTATCATCCCGTGTTTGTTGGATGGAGGCAAACGAAGGGATTGGTGCATCGCAGATCAATGCAGACAAATAAGTCAAGGCTAAGGTTGTTGTCACTTTGCTTTGCTCTTTTAGCCTAGAAGGGCCCAAATCCAAAATAAATGACTAAATGAATTAAACAAAGCAGTGGTATTAATTCTGTTCTTTAATTGATCAAGTTATTAAAATTTAAGTTGTATCAGTTTTATTTACTGCATTCATTTACACCAACTGGTTTATTTTTCTACATTTCTTTCTATTTGCAATTTGAATTTTTATCAATGCAAATCAGCAAATCAATAGTTTGATTTGTAATGGAGGCATCTATTTACTTTCTCTGAGAAATGTTGGAGACTTGTAAGAGGAAGAATTAAATAAAAGTGTTGAACTAGCTACAAAACTCTCCTC